AAGGGAAAGGGGTGTGAGGTTCGCGAGGCTAAGTATATGTGGGTGGGCTATGCACAGCTCGCAAGCGCATGTTTGATGGGCAGGATCATATGTACTAGTAAATTGTATTAGACCGCTGAGCGCTGAAAGCGCTGAACGAGGACGCGGACGCTCGTCAAGATGCTCGCACTCTTTCCCTTCCAATCTGTGCAACATGGCGGTTTGTGTCTCATCTCGCGCACTGTTACGTGCGAGGATGGGACTTACGTTCGCACTTGTAGAAGGTGAATATCACCTGCGCAGAATTGAACGACGCACTCAGTGGCGCGCATTCTGTTCCTCGAGTTCCTCGAGCGAGGCAGTGGTCGGCGCCCAAGGAAGCATGGAAGTGCACGCACAGTTATCCTGTACTCATATCGCCCGAAGTATAGTTTCCTTCTGTCGTGAACGTGTTTACCACGCATTTGAGACACTGCCATTCTGCTTCTATTCAGCACCTCTTCGTGATATGGATGGCCGCTCGCGTCCTAGTCAAGGAAGATAATCGTCTGGACACTTGGCCATATACACCAACTAGTGCACTCGTACCGCCGCAGATTCTCGACCCATGCCGGCGGTTGCCCGCATTCAATGCTACATTCATCAAGCAGCGCCGCGCGCTGCCATTATCCTGCCCTGTCTTCAGCATGCTCGTCCCGACGTTCTCCGCTTCTTCCTCTTGTGTCACTATCTCTAAGGCTTTTCACACCTGCGGCGCCCTTCTACATCCCACGAGAGCTTCTTATGGTATCGACACAAACTTCTTCGAGTAGCGAGCGATGTTTCCACAAGGCATCATCTCGGCGCTAGGCGAGACTAAGGCCAACCACGCAATCTGAGGAGCGCATCTGTTCGGCATCTACGATGATCACCGCCGCCTCGTCGGTGCCCCCAGTCGAACGTTGTCGCACTGCGCATCCCGAGCGTCATCTTAGTCTTTGGAAAGCCTTCCATCATCCTGGCGACCGCATTTGTGCACCTCCTCCACTGGGACGCGTTCGAGGCATCGATGAGCCCGAGGTGCAGGAGAAATACGGCGCGTCAAAGTGGGCGGGAATGATCGTGTAAGTTATATTTGTCCTCCTGTGATCATGATGTACCGATACCATTCACTGCACAGGCTGAGCTGCCCACTCCTTATCTTTCTCATCGAATGTACATCCCCAACCTGCACCTTTCATCTCCATTTTCCTCGCTAACGTCGTTCCTATCAATGCAGATATCGCCAACTCGTACGTCTACCGCCTCCAGTCGTATTCCTCTGCGCGACCCTCGCCATGCTCTATGCCCTCGCTGTCTTCCGCATCCTCACCTACATCCTCTCCAGCCCAGATCCCTGAACCTTCGATTGGGACTCCGAACCTTATGAAGGGACGAGAAGATCACGAAGGCGGAGCGAGTCACCTTGCAGGTGACGCGAGCGCGAGAGGTTGACGGGGACGAGGATAGGGAGGTGGAGGTAGATGAGGTCACGCCCCTCGTTATGTCCTCCCGCAATCTTGCACTGTCCAACGCGAACGGCCGCCACGCCCGGTCGCGCACGCACACACATTCCCGCGTTCGACGCCCCCAGGCGTTGACCACCGAGCCGAATAGTCCGGGAGATGAGACCTTCAAGGGCGGGCACCATCGGCACGAACAGCGCGGGTCTCATGCGGCAGAGGGGCTGGTTTGGGCTCGGTGGGGACGACGCAGGTTCAGGATCAAGCTCCAGTGACTGCAGGGTTGCAACTGGAAATGGGAAGGGTAGGAAGGGCCACGCATCGTCCGGCGCGAGCGTTATGCGGGAGCATGAGCGTCAGCGTGCGCACGGGCATGGACTGGACCATGTGCATGCTCACGGGCACTTGCATATCGACATAGAATCGTGGGGCGGGGACCGGGGCATTCATGAGCATGAGAATGGGGGCGAAGAGGCTGACAGCGGGCATGGAGGCAAGGACGCGGCTCAGAGACAGGTCGGACGGCGGAGGCAGGTGGTCGGCGTCTTGGTGCGTCGTCCTTCTCATCCCGTCCGAAGCGCTCAAGTTGACGTCGCATTCGCGGCGGCAGATGCGCGAGATGGGCATCATGCTGCACTCGCTCGTCATCGGGTTCACACTCGCGATCACCTCGGGCCCCGAATCCAGTGCGTGCCCCGTTTACCGTCTTCTCTCCGACATGTCGAGCTGATCAGCCCTCGCTCAACGTCTCTGGTCACTGCGATCATGTTCCACCAGCTATTTGAAGGCCTGTCGTTCGGAATCCGGATCGCGACGCTACCCGCGGAGGATCGTAAGTGTGTCTCCTCGGCTTTATTCTGGGTCTCACTGATGATCTTTGTTTGGGCGGGCAGAGAAGCAACATGAGCAAACGCGCTGGCGAGAACGGGTTGCTCAAGCCTGTGCTCGCACTTATGTTCGCGGTGACGACGCCCGTTGGGATCGCCATTGGGCTGGCGGTGTTCGGGCCCGGCGAAAGCGAAGGAGGTGCGTGCCCATGTCTCGTTGTCTCCTTGGTCTCGATCTGATTCTTCATTCTACACTCCAATCAAAGTGATCCTGCTCATGAGCGTGATGTCCGCGCTTTCGGCGGGGATGCTCATATACGCGGCATGCATCGAGATGCTTGGGGAGACTTTGTGCTCGACCCACATTTGTTCTGCTCCATCGTCGGCCGGTGGGCTCTCGCGCTGCGGATGATTTTCATGATCTCCTTCGTGGTATGCGTCTGCTTTCAAGTGGCTGCGCGCTCTCGTGAAGTACCGCGTCAATCCTAGTCTCGGTTCCTCGGTGGTACCTCTGCGGCACTGTCCAATAGCGGGTGAGTAGCTATGATTGCCGATAGTCCACAATGATTCTCATCACTATCAGCGCGTTGGTGTCCGATATCTGGGATGCAGGAAACCGTGGAGAGGCTCTGGCTTTCTTCGCTCTCGCACCGCTCACAGGCCTCACTCTCGGACCGATCGTCTCTGGCTTCATGAGCGTTCAGGGGGTCTCCTGGCGATGGCTCTACTGGTTGCTGATGTTCTTTGCTGGTATCTGTCTGATTCTGATCTCGTCCACGCTGCCGGAAGCCTTGTTGTATGTCCTCATCACGTTCCTGAAGTACCGTCACTGATTTGTGACTGCGTAGGCCGATCCTCACACCGCAGGCATGAAAGCATTTGCGATCGTTCGTTTTTGACACTAAATTGTAATTAACTGCCTTTTTGGGACGTAAAGTTGCCTAATTAGGGCATAGTGTTGCATAGGTCACACTTTAGAACACGTTTTCAGAGCATTTGCAACAGGAATGAATGCCTTCATGCCTGCAGTGTCATGCATCTCATGGCGCGGAAGGCGGAGAGATCGCGCAAGGAGACGGGGAATGATCGGTACTGGGCTGCGATGGCGAAGCAGAAGTCGTCGATCGGGCAGCACCTCAAACACGTTCTCGCAAGGCCGTTCATCGCTCTTTTCCGAGAACCTATGTTGATGGCCACCACCTTGTGCATGAGCGTAAGTGCTTGTTTCCTTCCATCCTCTGTTGCGTGGCGGCTCACGTCGCGCGCAGTTCGTGTACGGTTGCATGGACCTCTTGTTCGAGGCCTATTCCGTCGTCTTTTTGGAGGGGCACAACCTCAGCATGGGCCTCTTCGGTCTGACGTTCCTGCCAATCTTCCTGGGCGGCTGCACAGACGTGTTCACGTAGTACCCGCTCATCTTCAACACGCGGTACGTGCGCTCGCAGAAAAAGCACGCACCGCACCCCGTGCTGCCCGAGAAACGGCTCGAGGTCGCGATGTTTGCCGCACGGATGTTCATGGCCTCGTTCTTCTGGTTCGGCTGGACGTCGTACCCGAGCATCTCGCTCTGGGCGGCGCTCATCGCGGGCTATCCGCTCGGATGGAGCATCGTCTGGATTTTTCTTGCGTTGTTCAACTACGTGGCCGACGCGTACCTCTTCGTCGCAGCGTCCGCGCTCGCTTCGCTTACCGTCGTGCGGTCGTGCTTCGGCGCCGGCTTCCCGATGTTCGCTACGCAGATGTTTGAGCGGCTCAACTCGCGCTGGGCGTCGACTCTTCTTGGATTCATCGCGCTGCTCATGGCGCCCATCCCGTTCGTGCTGTTCAAGTATGGGCCTATTATCAGGAAGAAGTCAAAGTACGCGCCGACGAAGCCGATGCCAGTGCCCGTCAAGGAGATGACACAGGCGGACCCCGCCAACCACGCGTGAATGGCTCTGTCTGTCCCCTCATCTATCATTCATCACTCTCCGGTCGGGCTGTCGCACGCCACACTCTTCGTCACCCTTTTCCGCCGGTTTCCCCATCACTACCACTACAACGCATATGCATCATTTCTGGCCACGAACTCACGATATCGTTTTCCTTGCATCTGCATTTCTTTAACACATTCTGCGACCCCTGCTATTGTTTCCCCAGGCTGCGGTCGCACCGCTCGGTGCTGGGTTGTCTTTTCTTTTTGGATAGGCGGGCGCCTACGATGACGCTACGATCGCTACACTCATCACGATTCGCACTAACATGTCATCTATATCTGGAGGTTGGAGGTTGGACGTTATAACAGCATATAATAGACGTCATTTGCGTTGATTGGCACTAGACATGTACTCGCGGTGAACCTTCGGAGCCTTGGGTGGCCATTTCTTCTGGACGTGTCACGTGAGGGACACGTCAAGGTCCTGAATTTCATAAAGCATGTCCATCATTGTCCAGAGAGGTTCGGCGAGACTAATCCAAGGCACATACAGCCAGCAGAACAGCAGACATGCTCAGTCACGCGCTGGAGTATGTATGCGCGTTCTGACGCGTCTGGTCACACATGCGTCACTTCTGGCATTCTCTCCACCATACGGTATAGCCGGATTCATTTTTGACTGTCCATTTCTACTCCAATGCCGCACAGATGATCCTGCTACGCCGTCTCTGTATAGGACGTCTGTCGGCCGTGCTGCTCCGTCAGAGGCATGTAGATCGAAAGGGAACGGGGAAGAGATGCGAGCGGCATATGATGAGATAGTGATGGCAGTGGGATATGAATTTTGCCGCGCCATAGATGTCGAGCTGCATGTAGATGTATTTACGGGGGAAGGACGGGAGGCGAGAAGAGACGTAGTACCAGTGCACCTGGTGTTATGTGGCTACTTAGCAGGTGCACTCCCAACCTGGTGTTATGTTCCAAATAACAGAATGTATATTTGGCTATTTCCACGATGGTGAAGTTGAATTCTTACGTAAGGTCTTAAGCTGGATAGGGGTCAATTATGTAATCGCTACTGTGGATAGGGACTGGTTTGTGTGGTCCGAGCATTCGTGCTCTCCTCTGCATTGCCATACACCTATAGTGACACACCCTTAACTATTTGCGTTTAGTTCGCTGCTCATTCCGATGTCTGAATCACCTCGCACAGATCCCATCCGTTTATTCATGTTCAAGGTTGCGGTGTGGATTTCAGTTGGTGAGTATCAGTACATTGTTCAACGCATTCGTCTGCCCCTGACCTTTCATTGACAGAATGTATGTTTGCTGTGGCATGTCTCATTTCGATGGCAATTTTACCCTGTGCGATCGCAGTGGATTTCATTACAGGACTCGTGCGATCATGATGTTTCTATCCCCTTTGATTTGACCAGATGAACTAGTTACCAGATTGGAACAAAAGCGCAGGTGCGACCCTGTTTGAAGCTGTTCTGAACTGATTCTTTATTATCCTGCGGTGCATGTCCTGAAAGGTTCGAGTACTGTGGATGTTTGCTGTACTTGTTATAGCGTCGTTCATAAAAAGAAAGCAATATCGAAGGAAGCCCTAGCAAATGGACTCTGGATCGGTGACATTCCGGAGGGTTTGCAGCGCCTTACTTTTGTTGAATGCATGTTGGTTGCCACAGTCCGACACAATGCTTTTATTGTAAAGGTCTCAAAGGGTCAGTGAAAAATGATCGCGAACGTGATAGGATTTTCCCAGCCTATCCACAAAGTGTATGATGTTCTTCCTGCTCCTCGAAAAGATATGGATGACATCCTTGCCATTCTTTTTACAGGAGCATGCAAATCGGTTGCTGCTGATTTCAAACGCACTTCATTGATGGTGTGTTATCATGCAGTGTTAGATGCTCTTAAATGGCTTAAAACTAACCGCTATGACTACACAGACATTGATATCTCTTTGTCAAACCTATTGCAATATTCTAAAAATCAGCCACCTATTGTCATCCTTCATTGTGTTTCTGACGGTGCAACCCCTGCTGAGGCCATGGCAGTTTACGAAGTAGATGATGAACGAGGTTCAGCATCTGAACCATGTCCTTTTGTCATGCATGGGTTATTGTTCTATGAAAACTATATCATATTATATGCGACTGCTATAGCGTTGTGTGACTTCTCCAGTGGGGAGGAGTTCTTGGCATTGGACATAGCGTCCAGCCAGAGAGTATTTATCACAACCTGAGATTGTGGAAGAATATGTGTGGAAGCTGTAGTTTCGCAATACCTTTCATTCATGCTATCTGCCTTTGTAATACCAAGCTCGCTTTATTGAATCATGTCTTCGTCCATCGTATTGGCCCCTCGCTACTTCTGTTATTTGGAACCGACATGGCCACGCCAACTCCACCCAAGTGGCTACTTAGCAGGTGCACTCCCAAGCCTTAGCAGAGATCATGTGATTGCTTACCAGCCTTGAAATAACTGCATGAGTTCTGGGCAGCGGTCGTCCAGATCGTGCTCTTGCTGGCATGTGGATGTTTTTTTGGATGTGCTACTACTGATTGCTTCAATGGCTTCATGCATGTATGCATCACAACTTGGGCTATTCGGAGCATGATGTCTCTTGAAGGTGCTTGTCGCTGTCAGTCTCATGCACATGAGGACCCTCTGCCCATTGAATGTGCTGATCCTTTTTCCCCCGACCCTGCACTCAGTCCGCCCGCATGCTTGAGTTCACTGGCCCAGCACTCTTCTCTCTCACTGACGGTCTCATGCAGCCTGCGTATCGCCTATTACTTGCAGCATCTGGACCTCATCGAACTCCGAGTATACTCATTCTGATAGTCTTCTAGTTGTTGAATGCCTTGGCTCAGCACCTAGATTGTTGAATGCATCCAATCAGTTTGCGCTGACTGTTCGGATGCACTCCCTTGGTTGCTTCACTACTTCCTCTGTGCACAACGTGTCAGTCGTTCTCTCGGTCGATGACACACATAGAACGAGCTTCTCACTGTTTGATGTACTTGATTTCCTTTCCAAGGTATATGGCCTGCTTGTCGCCCGTCTGAAGGATGAACCCGGGATTTATCAAACTCAGAGAATACTTATCCTGGCTGTCATCGATCTGTCAAACGTCTCTGCCATGCATCAACAAGCTATTGGAATTACCCACGAGAATCTCACTGGACATTCATTAGGATATTCAGGAGAAGAAGAGGCGACCAGTATGGATATGCTCAGCGCTGCTGGCCACAACTCCGGCAATTAGGCTGTTACAGTCGATCCGATTGGTCCCCGAAATATCCCTCCAGTTATGTAAGCAAATCTGTCCTAGGTAACCGGTGTGGTCCTCACTGTCCCCATCCTCCCTCTTCAACATCTATTCCAAGTCGCCTCCCCATCACCTCCCTTCACCGCTCGTCTCTCAAACACTTGAGGCTAATCGGACCTGTAGGAAAAACATACCGTGCGACACTGGTATGTGTCAATACCTTTTGTGAGTATCACGCTCTCAGCTGACCGTATTTATTACAGGGCCGACTTTGGACCGTATCTGCCCCGCAGCCATCTCACATTCCATGACATTAATTTATACATCCCGTCCTCATGCCTATGGCTGGCCTCTCCAAAGGTTAGGGAGAAAAACTGCCTTCGACGGCTCGAGCAACCATCCAACTCAGTCACTCAGCGCATGGACGGTGTCAGACGAAGCGACCTCGACAGTGCAATGGGTGCACACACGTGTGTGGCTCATGTTTGCTGTCTTTCTTGTCTCTCTTTTCGGTGCGTGTAGTCTTCATTCAGTTTTTTTGCGCAGAGTTGTTGATTAGACTTCCTGGCAGCATCATGCTTTCCTGTTCTCTCACGCCGCATCCCCGGCATCTGCATCCCGGGCGTCGTCTTCTTCGTTGGAAAGCACTTTGGCACAGGCATCATTCTGGTGACTGCCTTTGTGCACCTCCTTCAGGACGTGTTCGAGGCCTTGATGAACCCCGAAGTGCAGGAGAGGTATGGCATGTCAAAGTGGGTGGGGATGATCGTGTAAGTTTTATCTGTCTTTCTGTTCATGATGCATCGATACGATTCTCTGCACAGGCTGAGCTCCCTACTCCTTATCTTTCTCGTCGAATGTACATTCCCAACCTGCTCCTTCTGCCTTCGTTCTCCTCGTTAACATCTTGCCTATTATTGCAGATATCACTACCTCGTACGTTGACCGCCTCCAGTCGTATGCCTCCGCGCCTCCTTCGCCGTGCTCTATGCCCTCACTCTCTCCCGCATCCTCACCTACCATCTCTCCAACCCAGCTCCCTGAGTGTTTGAATGGGACGCCGAACGATCGGCAGGGACAAAAAGAAGACGAAGAGGACGAGGAAGGCGGAGCGAGCCACCTTTTCGGTGTACCTCTCGCGCTCGCGTCACCCGAGTCTGAGCAAGAGGTGGATGAGGATGAGGATAGGGAGGCAGAGGTAGATGAGGCCATGCCTCTCATTGTGTCCTCCCAAAATCCTGCACCACCCGTCAAGTACGGCACCAACGCAAACGGCCACCCACGCCCGGTCGGGTACGCACATACATTCCCACATTCGACGCATCCCCCGCATCCCCCGGCAATGACCATCGAGCTGAATCGTCCAGGAGATGAGATTTTCATGGGTGGGCACCATCGGCACGAACAGTGCAGGTCTCATGCGGAGTACCATGCGTGTGCCAAGGGAGGATGGAGAGGCTGGTTAGGGCTCGGTGGGGACGACGCAGGTTTAGAGTCAGGGTCCAGTGACTGTAGGGTGGCAAATGGAAATGGAAAGAGTAGAGAGAGCTGCACGTCGTCTGGTGCGAGTGCTATGCGGGAGCATGAGTGTCGGCATGCGCACGGGCATGGCACGAAGCATGTGCATGCTCATGGGCATTTGCATATGGACATGGAATCATGAGGCGGGGACTGGGGCATGCATGAGCATGAAGATGGAGGAGCGGAGGCTGAGAGTGGGAATGGGGACAAGGACGCAGCTCAAGGGCAGATCAGACGGCAGAGGCAGGTGGTTGGCATTTTGGTGCATCGTCCTTCTCATCTCGTCCGGAGTGCTCAGGTTGATGGCGAGTTTGCAGAGGTAGATGCTCAAGATGGGCATCATGCTGCACTTGCTCGTCATCGGGCTCACGCTCGCGATTACCTCAGGCCCCGAATTCAGTGCATATCAGTTTACCGTCTTCTCCTCGATATATCGAGCTGATCACCCACCCCCGATTAGCGTCTCTGGTGACAGCGATCATGTTTCACCAGCTGTTTGAGGGCCTCTCGCTCGAAATCTGGATCGCGACGCTACCCGCAGGGGATGGTACGTGTTTCTATCTTCGGCTTTCTTCTGGGTCTCACTGATTGTCTTTGTTCGGGTGGGCAGAGAAGCAACACGAGTGAGCGCGCTGGCTAGAACGGGTGCTCAAGCCTGCGTTGGCACTGATGTTCACGGTCACGACACCCGTGGGGATCGCCATCGGGCTGGCGGTGTTCGGGCCTGGCGAAAGCGAAGGAGGTGCGTGTTCCTGTCTTGTTATCTTCTTGGTCTCGGTCTGATTCTGTGTTTGACCTCCAGTAAAAGTAGTACTGCTCACGGGCGTGATGTCCACGCTTTCGGCGGGAATGCTCATATATGCGGCGTGCATTGAGATGCTCGTGGGTGATTTTGTGCTCGACCCACATCTGTGGCACTCTAGTGTCAGCCGGCAGGCTCTCACGCTGTGTGCACTGCTGGCGGGTGTGGCTGCGATGGGGGTGGTTGGGTGAGTGAATGTGTTTGCTCTAGTACAGGAGGATCAGTGCTGATGCGGATGACGTGGTAGAATCGTTGGAGAGTAGTTCTTGGTTGCGGTGGCGCGTGCTGTGTGTGAGTGTTCAATCTCCATCTTTCGTGTATGCTTTGTACTGAATGCATGTGCGATCACAGATGGGAGCTCGTAGCGGTTGCGCGGGCATAATGATACCTTACGAATGCGCTTACTGCGTAACGAAGTTGGATGTGTGCATGATCAGGGTTTTGTATTTTTGGACAGGTTATCGCAATGCTATCGGTGTTCTCGTTGTTGTGCATTCATAATCATTTCATCGATGAACAGTACGTCGTTGGCAAGGACGTTTGTGGTGATTGATAGTCAGGTAAGGTCTACATTAAGTTACTCATTCCTGAATGTTAATCAGAGGCTCTGATAGCAGAACCAGCAGCCTCTGCCACTATACTGTTCAATGCGAGTAGCGAGCAATCCGACTGGAAGCGACGACTTTTCGCTTGCGCGTTATCTGCGTTTGAGGAATCCGTGTCAACCATAGGGGTGAGCAGATAGACCTCGTCCGATGTATCAGGATCAGTGAATGCGACCACTAGTTGCTTGTGCGTCTCTGGCATGACAGAGGCAGCGTCAATCATCGTGTTTGGAGTCGTCACTTTCGTATTCTCAGAACCTCGGCGAAGTAGGTTCTGCCACCACGGTGATCGAGCTATATCGTGAATGCTTTACTTACACTTGTACTTTCCAGGCACCGCGATGGGCTCCATCACTACATCTGGGTGCTCGTGAGCCTTTATACTATATTTCATGTAGCTCATCTGATAGCACAATCATTACGCGCTACCTCGCATAGTTCTACAAGACCATTTATGTTATGAATGCCTAGTCTAATGACACATCGTCTGTTTACATCTACGACGCAGTCATCAAGTTATGGTCTATGCAGTCAATCATCACCAGCTCCTTCAGCCCATTTGACTTCACCGCCATCCTGAACCACGACACCAACATGTTCTACATGCTGTTGGGCGACTCATCATACTACCTGGTCATGGGTGACTTAAGGATGACAAGTTTGAGTGCACTCTCTTGGATGAATGTCCTTACAGATCGAGCTTTTCGAACTCGGTAATGGCACTCGCCCACAATCACATTGACTTACTAGACTTGCCTGGTGTCAGGCCTGCGAAGCAAAGACTTTTGTTATTCACTGTGAGCCCTTCTTCCGTATATACATCACCCTGTACTCGTCTCATTGTAGACCCATATTTTCAACCCACTGTGCAGGCATACCCACTCTCGAATGGCAGCACCAGTTTTCCTGCGATGCATGGCAAGACAGAGACTTGTTCCAGTCTGAGGGTGTGCAGCAGGAGTTCGCATTCATTTCAGATGACAGCTTGGAAACATAAGTGGTCAACGTTGAGGTGAACACGATGACAGCATATCGATCAAACGAAAAAGCACTCCGATGCAACGTACACTGTAAGTATCGCGATACTCATGCAGCTTGACAGCTAGGGGAATGTAACGTTCTTCCAGTACATAGAGGGTGATGCTTCTGTTAACGCAGTGGCTTTGTGGAGGATAGTGAAGACGCTGTCATTGCTGACACCAGCTTGCTTATCAACGTCGAGTACTGTGACCATTAGCGGAGCACATAGTAGCAGCATTGGTATGACAGTGTTCACCAGTGTTTTCACCTCCACATCAATGGGATCTGCATCTTCCGGTAGCAGCAGTAGGGTCTAGATTATCGATGCTGTTTTTAATTCATCTTCGTGGCATTTTATACTTACATTTTTTGTCTACATCACTCTTGATGTTATATTCCTTGTCATCCACACTATGCACACTGTGGCTTTTGATAACACTTACATATTTGTACAGCAAATGACAAAATTACACGCTGGCATTAGAAAACAACCACCACATTAAATAGCAATGTTCACAGACCAAGGTGTATGAAAGGGAGCCATTTATAAAATAACATGTTAGGATCCTGTTGCAACCGCTCTACTGCATAATGCAATGCCCTTGCAGCCTGCCTATGATCTGGTGGGCTATCATTAGTGAACAACTGAGAATAAACATCTTCTGCAACCTGTGGGGCAACATCATCCAGAATTGACCACATTGTTGCAATCACCCCACTATAGCCAATAAACAGCATTCCTGCAGCAAGATGGACAGCTTCATCTGCAAGTTTCTTGTCACCAGTTGCTGTCTGACAGGCTGACAAAAAGGCCAATCCTCCTTGTGGATGTGTCACTCTGACAATGTCAGATAGCTTCAAGCGTTGATTATTTGCAAGTTGCAGTCCACTATTAACTGGATTTTGGAGGTCTTGAATTCCATGACATGCAAAATGAGCCCAGCTACACTTTTGTAGCTTGTCCAGTACATCATCTTTGCTTCCGTCAGACTCCACAAGCAAGACTTGCATAGAGCTCAGCCTGTTAAGCCTATCCTTTATCTTAGAGATTTCCTTTTGTGTACCTGGAAGCTGAAAGAATTGACCATCTGAGCTTGGCTGAGCCACAGCCAGTAGATGAATATTCTGTGGAATATCGTCTTCAGATGGTAAGATAAGTGCACTTAAAGTGGGAGTATATGATGATATGGCAAATTCTGAGAGCTTGACATTTGATTCAGCTGTTCCATATATGCCTGCAGCATGAATGGGAAGAAATGCCAGAGGGCCTGTGGGACACCAAAAAATTCGACTTAGATTAGAGCATGTTGGAGTTTTTTTCTAATTCAATCATCAGTGTCAAATAATGAAAGGAGTGAAATAGAGGCATACTTGATAATCAAGTCTATCCAAGACTGGTTTGACAATTTTGGACCATAGCTCAGAAAGTACACTTTCAAATGAAGAGTATGCTCCATCACCAGAAAATTCCATTTTTGCTGCCCTGTCATCTCTGTCAATGGTAGTAAAGATGGTGTGGCAAGGCTGATGAAGAGTTTCACTGGGCATTGTGCTTAGAGTGATGTCATCTTCATCAATAACACTTGAGATGATGCGGTCTTTATTTCTGAGCAATGAATTCAGTGATAGTTCAAGATTTTGTGCAATTTGATAGGTGAGACCATTAAGAGGAAGGTGGATCACATCTTTTGAGCCAGGCACAATCATTAATGCATCACAATGAAACTGACTGCAGTTTAGAATGATCACTGGCCCTGAATGTGCACACTTCAAAAGCTGAGCCAGCTTTTTTGGCATCAAAAATTGTTCAAACTCTGGTATGGATCGAATTTCAGCCAGCAAAAGTTCCCATTTTTGTGCAAGTGCATGGTGCTGTTGAGCCTCTTTCTCTAAAGTCTCTTGTATGGCTTCCTTTATGTCAAGTCTATAGCTTGCTTGTTCTAGCTGCTTTGAGATCTGAGAAACTTTACTTGCAAGTGTTGGATGCTTAGCCTGCAGATCATCAAAGGGAGTATGAAGCTGCAATTGCTGTTCCCAAACAATTGAACGCCCTTGCTCAAGCCATTCAACAGCAGTATCATATTTTCCATATTGGATGGCTGCTGCAGCAGCATCTCTAGCAAAACTTGCTGCCTGAGTAAGTGCACTATAGCGATCTGGAAAAGACAATCCAAGCCATGCCAAGTTTGGAAGCAAAGTCAATGTGACATTATAGGCCTGAAGAAGAGATGGATCTTGCAATGCATAAGCACATTTAATCCAGTTTTGACCAGCATGGAACCTGACAGAAAAGGGGCCAGAGGATGACTTAGCAGCTAATGAATATTGAACCATTGCTATTTCCAGTGCAGAGTGATCATCAAGATGTCTGAAGCGGCTCAAGAAGGAGTTTCCAAGGTTGTTGAGCCGGCCAGGCTTGTTGGCATGATCATCTGGTGTCAGCTGCAGTGCTCTTTGCTGCACAGCAATGGCCTGGTCAACATTTGCAAGGTTACCAAGATGTTCGAAGCGGCTCAGGAAGGAGTTTCCAAGGTTGCTGAGCTGGCCAGGCTTGTCTGCATGATCATCTGGTGTCAGCTGCACTGCTT